CTGCAACCTCTGTGCAAAGCTCTAAAATATCACATCCAACTCCAGGAATAATTGGGAAATTTAATGAGATTGGTGAACCACAACCTTGAAGGATTTCGCAAGAAAAAGGTTTTGGGGGCTTGACAGTTAATTCTCAGGCAAACTTTTGCCTTTACCCTTTCAATCAATAGAAACAGTGGATTTAATTTTGGTTAATTGGTGCTCAGTAAGAGACACCCTTCAGCGTCGATAGAACATTCTTACGGCCTTGGTCCTATTGATTCTGGAATCTCTTAGGCGCTTACAAACGCGTCTGTTCCGATGGATTCTGTTCCTCTGTGGTCACTTTTTTTTAAAATGCAAGAGACCTCAAATAAAAGTGGTATTAAACGATTATGTAATTTCACTCAAGCACAATCAATGCACTTACTATCAGGCACTACAAAAATCAAGCAATACTCTAATTTTCCAGGTATTTCCACAAAGTTTTCTGCTGTTCATATAAGGCTAAGTAAACTGTTACCAACATTTCATACTGACACAACTAAAGATTATTTAAAAATAGACTATGAATGGCATAGCAGTTAGTGAATCTTCAGAGAGAAGCATTCGTATCTTTTAACTGTAACCAAGTTTAGCACCCTGCAGAGCATTAGTGATCAAATCCTGGCCCCTAGTGGTGAAGTCGTGTGAGATCTGGAGCCCGAGGCTGCTGCAGTCTGTTTGTAGCTTTTGGTGAGCTGAGAGATTTTACGTGTGTAACTTCCCTCATAAAGTCTTTAATAGGAAGAAGTGTTCTCATTTGCTTATCTGGGGTGATGTGGGTAACTGACTGGCGGGACACCCATGCCATATATGTTTCAAAGTTGTGAGAATTGCGCTAAGAGAGAGGCAAGCTCTCGACTTGGAACGAGACTAACCGGCGACAATCGCATCTGTCAAATAATTTTGGCACTCATCCCAAGACAAACTTCAGAGACAAAGATATCGTTTGAATGCAGAACACAGACAGGTTAACATTTTTCGCACTATCATCTCCATTCTGTTGGATCATTGTCCAATTACACAAAATTATTTTGGCAGTTTTGCTCACACAACATTATACCCAGATTCCCCTTTTTGGCCTTTTTCTGGAGGGCTGCTAGAGGAAGATGAAGGTTGCCAGGTTTCCAGGCTGACGGGAAGTATGCCTGTGACAAGCGTAACTGACAGCTCTGATTTAATTTGACTGGTGATCACACCCAGCTATAGTATCAGAGCAGTTCACACATCTGTGCCTCAGCTCAAGGTGTTGAGACATGCCACCAAATATCTGGAACATTACACACACCCCTGGTGCTGTGTACAGGCAGCCAGAGCGCTGTCACTCCAGCTTTCCAGCAACATTAGCGAAGACACAAATCTTACATTCGCTGTTTCCATCCTAATTCTGTCAGCATTTAATCTCTTTTTTTAATTAAATGTCCACACGTTTATTAACAATTTGCAATGATTAATGAGACTATTGTGATTTGCTACAACACAGAAAACAAAAGACACTAAACTGATATTCTTTTAAATACATATATGGTTCCTACCAGTCTTTTCCAAAGCATTGGCACCCTGCAGTTCTCAGTAAACCCACCTGCAGCATGAACATATAGATAGACAGAGAATTGTTATTATTAGACATGTCAGGAGGTTAAAAAGGATATGTGTGGCAACATGTAAGGCCCAAATAGCAAGCTACGACATATTAGCAGTAGTAGTTATTTAATCAAAAATACAGTATATTATTGCAATTTAAAATAACTTTAAAAATCTAATTTATTCCTTTGATAGCAAAGCTGCATTTTCAGCAGCCATTATTCCATGCTCATACTAAAATGCTTATTTGGTGCACAACATTTCTTATTATTATCAGTTATGCTGCTTAATATTTTTGTAGAAACCATGGTGCAATTTTTAGGATTCTTTGATGAATAGAAATCTATATTTTTGCTACAATAACACATATAAATTGCTACTATCCTATCCACCAAAACGCAGCTGGTTAATCATTAGGCTCAACATCTCATTTAAGCAAAAGAGCTCATTACATTCTAATATACTGATGAGTCTGGAGGCTGTAATGAGAGGTCATGCTAGAGGTTAAATTATATGGAATGAGCAGCTAATAGTCAGAGCATAGCACTGGATAAATAGGCCTCTCTCTCTCTCTTGGCCTCTTCCTCTAATAGATTTATGCAGGTCTCGATGTTCTGGCTAGATCAACAGCTTACTGAAATATCTCTCCGGCCCAGCTGCAGTAGTGCTGGCTTGCTAATTCAGGCCAGTGTACTTCCATTAAAACAGTCCCCTGTGTCTTCATTTAGAACACTGCGAACTGGGAGCCCCGCAAAAACAGGGAAGATGGGACCAATTTTTATTATTCTGCACATTCTAGAAATGCGCCTCAGTGGAAATATTTGACCTTGCTGAGTGACACAATCAATTTGTTTGAAATCGGCTCTGGATCTGTCTGGATCTCTTTGGATCTGTCTTTAAAGGATTTGATTATACATTTGCGCACATGCAGCTAGCAAGGTTGCATGTGCCTGAGCCCTGTTTCTGGTCTTGACCCTCCTCATTTATCTTAAGTAATTGGATTTTCCCCCCTAAATCTCTGTTAAGAGACTGCTGTTTACATTATATTAAGGTGATTATTATCAAATACGCATGGACTGAGGCAAGGCTCTGTCATGACCTCTGAATTTACTGTACGCTTTTCAGAAGAGAAAAGCTTCTTTCAAGTGGCAAATGAAGTGTGCATTATACAAGCTCTCTGAAATTCTTGCTTCTGATTGGTCATTTGCTAGATCCAGCAGCGAAATAATTCCAAATAATGATTCTTGTCCATGGCAACACTTTATAATTGGGAAATAAACTGCTCATGTCATTTGTGTTCTTGTGTTCAACATCTCCACAGTCTCTATAATTAAAATAAAAATAAAACCCAAATCAATATTTAAGTAACTGTGCAATGGGCAGTAAAACAGTTGTCCCTTACTTATCCAAATAATAGGTATTACTGGAGATACTTCTAATAGACATGATTGTGAAAGTCTAAATGACCATGAAATCTGTTGAAATCTATTAAACTAACACTGTAATTGTGGTTCACCTCAATGATAAAACTTAAAACATATGCCCTCGGCTTTATTAGTAAACACCAATAGAAAAGGTAGATATTCTTGTGTTTTCTTGGCCTCCATTTATCCAGTGTTCATGGTAACAAAGCAAACAATATCTGTATGATCACTGTATGCAGAATAGTGTGTAAGAATAGCTTTATTGTAAAACTATGCTCAGATAATTAAGAATGGAAAAACAAAGAGTTGCAAAGAACTAATGTTCCAAACCATATTAAGGGTACTTACAGCATATGAAAATAAAAACTAGAAGAAAATTATGCAGTCACACATTTGCAATAACAGTCCACAGAAACACCAACAAAGCGAAAACTTGGGTTATATTTCCAAACAAGCCAAACTGTCCTTGATATTTAATAATAGTATAAACAACACATCGTTCCAGTCCTCTATTCTGATTGGACAAGCTGATTTCAAAGTGTGACATACAGTACAGTAACAACACAGGGACATTTCACTCTGCTTGTATGTGTTTGCTGTTGTCAAGGCCATATTATGTGAGTGGTGCAGAGTGGAGATTGTGGTGTTGTGAGCAAGGAGTCTTTTTTTCCCTCGTTGCATTGCTTGTTTCTATCACTAGTTTAGTTGGCTTGTTGCTATGGCTCTTTTTTGGTAGCCTACTATTTTTGTTAATGGAGAAGAAATATACAAACTAACTGGCTTTTTTTTTTGTTTGTTTTTTTTGTCTGAATCAAGTTACCTGATATACTTACTTAATGATTTTATAAATTTTTAATTAATAATATAAAAATCATATTTACAGTTGTGCTACTGAATAGCCTATACGCAAAAGTCTGATTTCTGAAACCTCATGCGTACAGCCGAATCACAGCCGTGCTGATAAAGAATTCCAGTAGCATGATATTTGTCATGATATTACTTAATTTATTCAGTTTATTTATAATTTTTTATAAATAAATAATCGAAGGTGACATTTTAAGGGTAGACAGTCTGACAAGTCACATACTTGCAAGTCAAACATTTGACTAGTGAGCAAATGAAAACACTGAATCTGAAGCTTGAGCAGAAAAAAAGGGTAGGCCTATACTTCAGCACTCAAAGTTGTCATGCAGCAACACAAATTTGTGCACCTGATAAACTGACCAATGGAGGTAAAGCGGGATTTATCAAAATTATGTTTTAGAAGGGCCATGGTCATAGGTCACACACAGATATTATGTTATTTCATTTTATAAAGCTATAAAATGTGCATTTACAGCTATTAAAAGTTCTGGGAGCATGCAATCATTTTCATATTGGGCCTATTTTTAAACACCATTCAAAATGATCGACTGTGGTTTACAAGAGAAAGCAATAGGCTGGCGGGATGTTTGTTTGCCGCGGTGCGCAAACGTGTTGCGCACAGATTCCCTCCAATCAAGGTCGAGCCGAGCGCCTTCAAGACGAGCGTCTAAACGCGTCTGCGCTCTTCAAGTGTCAAACCCGCGACTAGAGGCCGCGACACAAACTCCCCGCTGACACTGAAAAACGGATCGTCTCATCCAGTGACTGACACCGCTTTGGATCGATTCTGACACCCATCTTGTAAAAGTGTGTATAAAGTGTTTTTCAGGGGGAAACGAGAAACCGCGCGAGTGCGCTCAGATGGCACGACTTTCCCCAAATGCGATACTATTCAGAGCAATAGCGTATATGACAACGGAGGGGTGAAATGTTAGCTTGCGCGATTCGTGACTGGCACGGTGTTGACATAACGTTACCCGATGCCCGTGTATATAAGCTCTCGTGCCCATGCAAGGACTCAAGCCACTGTACCCTTCGCGCATTCATCGCTCAACACGGTTAAACACACATCCGTCAAGGGAAGACGTTTGTAAGTTTCAAACCTACCTTCCCAGAGAATGACACTATAACATTGGACAAGTGTGTCATGGTACTTGATTACAGTCCTTTTTTTCGTCCTCCATCCGTTACAATGTCGCCATTTTGCCTAAAATTCTGCAGGTTGAACTAAAACTCCAGCAGGGATGTTTGGTCTGTGCGTTCACAAATCGCACCATGAACTAGGACGAAAAGAAACGTTTACATCCTTTCAAAGACAAAGTGAAAAGTTAAGGTCGTGTTGTTTTTCACGGAGAAATGGTGCATTGGGTGTTTAAAAAAAGAGTGAAGTAGAGACACACTGTAAATCCCCCTCTCGCGATATGGATTATTCCACAGACAGAGGGTGAATTCTTCTTAGGTGAAGTTACTGCTGGTGTTGAAAAAAAAAAACACAGGAAGATGGTGGGAAGGTGGACTTGCACACCTAGCGATGTGGTGAATAATGGAATGCTTTTTATTTTGTCAGTGATTATAAGCATTTCTTGCTGGACATTGTAGCCATACTTTTTTAGTTTGCCGTTTTAAGCTGTTTGATAACACCAGACACAAACACCTGTATTGTTTATAAGCATACAATACTGAATTCCTGAATTTTTTGTTTTTGTTTTTACTTTTGTGTAAAGGAAAGGACTATTTTGCAAATCAGTACCATAAAGATGTATCAATATTATTTTTTTCATTCACAGCATCTCAGCATCTCACAGTCCTGAACAGCTTAACATGTTGAAATCGCTTTCACTTTTTTTAGATTAGTGAGCAGATGACATCTCATAGCATCAGATGTGTTTGACAACTGAGCTGTGGGTTCAGAGAGATATGTGATAAAACAGTGAAATCAAATGAATATTTTATAAAATATAAATCTACCTGTGAAACTAAAACCAAAACTTACAGTTTAAAATCATATTCTTATCTTATTTTCTTGCAAAGAACATTAAACCCAGGCAAGTTAATTAATCTGAAGAGTGTATTTTAAATTTCTGACGAAATATCAAAATTAACTTTAGGCCTCTGTTTTCAGAGCATGAAGAGATTATAAGCATTTCTTGCTGGACATTGTAGCCATACTTTTTTAGTTTGCCGTTTTAAGCTGTTTGATAACACCAGACACAAACACCTGTATTGTTTATAAGCATACAATACTGAATTCCTGAATTTTTTGTTTTTGTTTTTACTTTTGTGTAAAGGAAAGGACTATTTTGCAAATCAGTACCATAAAGATGTATCAAATGTATTTTAAACCAGATATGTAACCTCTAGTCTAGTGTAGCTTAATTGAAATTTAAAATAGTATTTCATGTCAGTGTTAATGACTAGAATCCAATTTGTTTATTTATTTTCATTTTTTAAGAATATTTTGAGCTGTTCATTTTTAGTCTGTTCTGGCATGGATAGCAAGAAACAATGCTAAATGCATAATATAATAATAACATAATATTAACATGCAGTTAACAGTAAAATTGTGCATAATTAGAAAAGCAAAATTAATATGCTTAAGCAACTTCAAGCAGAAAATCGCAAGCCTTTTTTGTTAGCCTTGCCAACACAATAGAAAAAAGTGTCATGAAGGTCCACCCCTAAACATAACCCTCAGTTGGGCTGAAGCAGATTGTATGAAAACGTATTAAAGAGTGAGATTGAATAAGTTCACACCAATTAGCCAAAATGAAAAATCGCTATGAATTTCTGTGAGAGTGTTTATCTTACATTCAAATCACTCCATGATGTTTTGCTGCAAATGCATCTGTTGCTTGATAGAGTTGAACAAAACTATTCAAGGTAAAAGAAAGATGAAGTGGTGTGTATCAGCCACACATTTTTTATGCTAAAATTATTCTACAAACATATTTTAATGACTATATACAGTAATTAGCACAGTTACATAGTTAGCATTAAAAAAAATTGACAGACTTGTCCGCTGTCATCAACAGGGCTATAATTGTCTAACATTTTTGTTTTAGACCTAAAGGAGGGTTGTGTGTGTGTGTATGTATATATATATATATATATATATATATATAATACCTTGCTACGTGTACTGCGTTAGGCTAACCTTTAGGCCTCTGTTTTCAGAGCATGAAGAAATTATTTTAATGGCCTGCCAAGCGTACACTGAAAAGTTTGATTTTGGTCTGCTGGAACAAGAGCAGAGAATAATTTATTATGCTGTTTGTGTCTCATGTTAGTAGTTATCATTCCCTACCTTGGGGTACAATGGGCCATTTTTATCCATTTTCACTGGCTCACTTTTCTTCTTGATCCCATACGCTGCCGACGAAGCTTGAGCCTGGAGCAATGGTTTCGAAACATCACAGGAAACTACATTATTATACTGCTGCCTGTTAACAGGCAGAAAAGAGACGGTGTACCCGTTTAAATCTGGGGGCAGAAGAATGAATACAAAGGATTAGAGAGTTCATCATTTTACCAGAGGTGGTTTGTCTTTAAAGCAGGGCAGAGCAGACAGCACACCGCTTTTCATCCGTCCTGTTCCACAGGCAGCTCTGAGACCTAAACATATTAATGAAAGACATTCTTTCACTCGCTTCGCCCATCAACTCAAGGTCACTCGTCTGTGCTCACCTGTCCTTAAGGAAGAAGTTCAGTGTTTGTGGGGGGCACACTGTTTAATAATGTCTTTTGAAGACCTGATCATTCATATATATATATATAACTAATCCATACATACAAAGAAAACAATACGATTAAGTTCAGAAATTAAGTTCCCTTTCAAGGGAACTTCGAACTGCATCCTCTAGGGGTCGCTATGGGGAACGCCTCGTCGTGACCC